GTCAGACCTGTGCAGTAATTATTCGTATAAAGTCTTAAACTACTAAATCAGTTTTGGCTCAACTACAAGCTTTGCTGAATTTAGTGATATTGCAGTATAGATCTGCAATAGAAAGCATTACCTGAAAGGGATTCAGTCATATTTGTAGCACAGTCATTTTTATTAAAATAAGTACATGGTTGCAATAGCAGATGCATCACTTTTACATGCCTTGTTTAACTGTGATTGACTTTAGCAAGTTGGTCTGATGCTTAAGCTCACCTTCTTATGTGATATATAAAAACGATTGTAGAGCTGGTGTTAACCTTGGATCCCTATCAAATGGAATTGGCTGTTCAGAAAGGTTTGTTATGGATATTTTAATAGAAAGTGCATGAACTATAATCCTCCTTGTATATTAATCTCTTGTATTATCCAGCCTTGACTCTATAGACTGTAGAAAATACAGGTCTTCAGAATTCAGATTTTGCTGAAATATTCCTTTTCTTGACCAAGTACACAATTTTTATTGGATGACTAATAGATTAAAATGTTTGATAGGTAGGCTCTTGTTACAGGCCCCTAACATGTATAAAGAATGCATAGGATATTGATATTATAAAATCATAGAGCTGGAAGGGGCCATACAGACCATCTAGTCCAACCCCCCGCCCAATGCAGGTAGTACCAAAACTTGTTACATCTTTATTTAGATGTGGAGAGAGAGCCTGGTGTACTGGTTAAGTGATGTGGAGCCTAATCTGGAGAACTGGGTTTGATTTCCCATGAAGCCTGCTGGGTGACCTTGGGCCAGTCACAATTCTGTCAGAAAGGCAGTCTATCCAGTTGTGTGGAAAACATCAGGACTAACTTCTTTCCAAATGGCTAACTAAATAAGCTGTTTCTAGAAGTGTTGTTTTTTGTAAGCTGTTGCTGTCTATCACCAGATGTTTTTACATTGGAAGTATGAATCGGCCAGGGAGCCTGAAATTCCAGACACTGTCAAACTAGGTCTTCTGGGTATTCCCCCACCTCCAGTGCATATAATTTACGACAGATATCAACTTTGGGGACTGTCAAATGTAAAAGTGTAATAGTATACAAGCTATAAATTGGTAGTGAGCATAATACCTCATAGTGATCTTTATACATATGGGCACATGCATTATTCCACTAAATCTTCTCTCTCACAGCATAGTGTGTCTAATGCACTGTTCCAAGGCAGTCAACCAGATTCGTTTCCAGCAGTAGTGTCATGTGTCTCCAGACCTGTCTTTATTAGTTGTCACATCTTCTGAAGAACTGGACCATAACACTTTGGCACTAACAATCTGGTGTCTTCTCCAGTGTTCTCAAGGAAGGCTGGCAAAGAACTCCCAATAATGGAGTGTTGGTTCTTAATGATTTTTTCCCCCTAGTTGGCTAAGTTTCATTATTCTGATAGATCTCAAAGAGGTAAAGGCTGTAAACGAATGACATAGCCCTAATTATAAGGCAATATTTGGAGCCTCTTAGTTCTGATACTTTTATTTCACAAACTGGTATTGGTGGAATCCAGTGAATGCATACACTATTGTTCCTTCTTTGGTGTAAAAAACCCTATATATAGTCATATAATGGTTTCAAATAAGATTACTCCTTTCTGAAATATGTTTTAATGGTGATGGAATTCAGTTGCTTAATCTCCATCATTCAATAGTCATTTAGATATGGTGTCCCATAAACTGGAGTACTTTCCAGAATATTAGGGAATTTTAAAGAAATTTCTGTTGTACTGTGTCTATCTGGTTATAGATCTGCCCTTCTTGTCTCTTAAGTCATAGTGACTCTTGGGGTGCTAAAATTAAATTTGTATTTTAGCTGTTGTATGAAACAGATGCATTTGTATATGACTGTGACCACCGATGCCTACAAAGTGGCTTCCCCCCCCCCCAGTAAAGAAACCGATTTTATAGCCTGTAATATCTTAGTGAATGCCTCTTGTGGGGGGGTGAGTTATGTTTTCCATGTATATATTAGTTCATACTGGTGTTTTCTTCCACTCCGCCCAGGTTTTTCAGTTAACTAGCTCCCAAAGTTGCTTATAGCTATTTAAAGAAATTGGTAAAACAGTGCGGTTTGATTCACATATCAAAATTTGAGGACTTGAAAGAGATGTGTTCTAGGATTTGCATGCTCCCCAGGTGTTCATGGGCCTAGTTAGGATCTGGGCTGTGGTTCATGAGAGGTGGCCTCTGCCACTCCACCCACATTTGAGTTGGTTCCCATCCAAATCAGGCCCACATATACCTAGAAGTCATGGTATTCCTAGTGCATGTCTGAGCCAAAGTCCTTGTGGTAGTCAAAAGGACTTTCATTTATAACCCACCTTTCTCCCCAGTGGGTACCCGAAGCATATCACATTGTTCTCCTCCCCTCCCCTCCGTTTTATCCTTGCAACAGCCCTGTGAGGTAGGTTGGGTTGAGCATGCAACTGGCCCAAGGTCACCCAGCAAGCTTCCATTACAGAACGGGGATTCAAGTGTGAGTCTTCCAGAGACGAGTCTGGCAACCCTAAATAGTACACTATCAGTCCTCAGTCCAGGTACAGTAAAAAGTCTAGCTACTGTTGTTTTTCCTTCTGGCTTTGTTCATAATAAATTGAAAAGGGGTATCTCAGCTGGAGCTGGATCCTGACCCAGGTATAATAGACAAAAATGGCTGCCTACTTCCTCTTCCTTCTGTAGCATCAGGAGTGGCAATTCATAACTGGGATGAGGGAGCTCTCAAATAGAACTGGATCCCAGGTACCATGATACATATTAAAATCTATTGTAACAGCACCTGTTTCACTTTGCTCCTCTGACCAATGAAGCAAGATTAGTTGAATATACGTTTATTTAATCACCTTGACCGTCTCTTCTGCATTTTCTCAATTCCAGAGTATTTTTGTTTAATCGCTCTGTAGACTGCAGCCATAATCAGTCACCCCCTCAAAATTGTTTAATTTAGATCCTCCAGGTACCTGTCTGTTAGCATATGTGAAGAGCTGGTCTCAATCAGTTTCCTGTTTGACAGGTGTGAACTTGGCATTTGAGTGTTAACAGCTGGCATTCTAAACGGCCAGGAATTCTATTAACATGGGGTTGTCCAAACCATATGTGGTCCAGTTTTTGGTATGTTTCAGGGAATTATAATGGAAGACTGGTGTTCGCAAATCAGAACTTGCCTTGGAAGCAGCTTTTCTGTCAGATTTTTCACACAAATGTTTTGCTAAATTCTAGATTAGGATAGTGCTGAAGATTCAACAAGCCAGTATTTCTATCCAGCAGAGAGAACCCCAACGGATATTGTGAACCTCTCTCCAGATTTCATCTCTAGAACTGTATGAACATGTAACAAAGGAGAATTATTTCAGATAAAATATCCATAGTGCTTTCCATCCTGGCTTAAGAAAACTTCTGCATGTTGTGTTGTCATACTTTACCTGAAACTTAAAAATGATGCTGTATTCAAAGTATAGTTAAGTACATAGCATTGATTTGGGGAGATAGCTTTTAATCTCTTTTCTATGATGTGTGTGTGTCTTGAAACAGCTTATTTCAGATGGTATGCTGACAGCTAAGTTAGAAGAGGCATCAGGCCATTAATTGGTTTGGGAAGAGGACGAGTACAGATGTTTTAGTACAAATGTGATTAGTTAGTTACAGCCCCAATTTGGTAGAAAGGCTGAAACCCATAGATGCTTTAAAAGGTTGAATTATGCTTTGGGTGATCTGCTCATGGGTCCACAGCATAATGTGCAGCTTGAGATGGCCTCATAAGGGAGGAGTCAAAAGCTTTAAAAGAAGATGAGGGGTTTAGAAGCAAGACCGAATGAACAGAGACCTTCCTTACCTTACTTCAGAGTTTTTTAAAAAAATAAAACCGCTGTGATGCTAAGGCAATTGCATAATATCTAGTCTGTAATTAGGAAAGGACATGGGGGAGGCTAGCAGTGCAATCTTGTATGTGGGTATTGCTCTCAAATTCTTACTTGGGTTTGGATGCAGTGGAGGATGTGTTGCCAGTTCAGCCCCCATTGCAGGCTTCTGAATTCCTCAATGCTGGTCTGAGGAGGGGGGTGTCACCTGTCCACATGTAATGCTGTTTTTGGAGACATTTTGGGCTGCAGCAGGAGTAAGCAGCCAAGGAAGTCATGTTCTTTTGATGGCAACTCTTTGTGTCTTTGGGAATCTCTGATGGATTCAAGCCTTGGTTGTTCCATAGATCACATCTATCCAGTTGTTGTTTTTTTTATTAACTCCTTTCTGCCTCATCTCTTGGAACATTTGCCCTAAATGTAGGGGGGGGGGAAACTGCAGAGGAAGGGGGGGTAATGAGTGCCCACTTTGAAACGTGCAGGGTACATAGTTCCTGGTTGTTCTAGATACAAAATCTGATCATAGAGCCTTAAGCATGGCACACTACAACTCACTGACGTGTGTGGACTGAATCCAGAGTTTAAGCTGGCCTCCACTTTAATAGGAGTATGCTGGCACCATTGCTTTGCTTTTTCATTTAATCTTTCCTACATGTGCCCAAGTTTTAAAAAGTGAGGTGCTAACCAAAGTGCTGTCTCTGCCAGACATCAGATTTGCTCTTTGTAACTTGCAAACATATTGCAGATGAATACAAATACCTTTACTACAGTATCTTAGCTTCAGATTCCTGTTGTCTTCGAAGAAAGTTCTTAATTAGACTAATAATCCCATATGCTAAACTTCTTAATGAGAATTAATGGGTTTGTGTTACAAGTTCCTAATTAACAAAAGGTAATGAAATTGAATAAAATAGTTTCCACGCTATAACTAAAGGACCATTGCAATATGTTGATGTTATTCTGTTTAATGTTAAAGTATTATGTCTATAATGTGATATGAATTTAATAACCCGTAGAATTAAACACATTGATCTTTAGTGTATAGTTCATTTTTGGTACTATTTACTGCAGTAGTTTCTTGTTAAATCAACATTATAATCCTGCTTTCATTTCCCACCAGATGATGAAACATGCCTGGGATAATTATAAACATTACGCATGGGGATTAAATGAACTGAAACCCATATCAAAACAAGGACATTCAAGCAATTTATTTGGTGAGTAGTATGTGCTTTTGTACTTAATGACATGAGTTGATCTACTGCTTTGAAATTGGAGATTAAGTCCGAAGCATGTGTGCTCTTAACCAGCTGCCTTGACATGTGCTTTCTTTAAAATGTTGATTGTTAAATGTAAAGAAAGCTGCACCATTTCCTTATTGCAGTTTTGCTCCCCAGTTACAGCGGCTACTATGCCTTTAACACCAGCGATATGCTATTATATTATATTATTGATTTTATCCCACTAATATAGGTCTGTAGGGTCCTTAGAGTAGCATAAAGTAAAATCTTATCATTTCACCTAAAATAACTTACTGTTTTGAGTGTAGAATTATGTGAGAAATTGGTAAACTGTAAAATTTATTTTAATACTGGTACACCAAATCTGTACAGCAAAGATAAGGACAGAGTGCCCTCTAGCTTTGACAGTTAGACTCTTTAAGACTGAAATACTTCAGTTCTGTTATTTTCAGTGACCATACTGTTTCCAAATGGAAGATGGCTTCTGATAAGGACTATTCTTAGTATCTGGTGGGCCATAAATGGCCAATTTTGGATCATTAACAAAAAAAACCCCAAAAAACAACCCAACAACCCTGTCTTGTAACTTTTATTAGGAATAAATACTTTCCTACACTGATTGTCTTGTCATCTTAAACAAAGATGTTTACATGCATTCTGTGTTTTGCCTGTTTCTTTCCCCTATTCTACAGTTTCAACCCCAACTGCTTTCTTTTGTCTTATTTGATATATTCAATAATGTTTTGTAATCTACTTAGTGGTTGTCTGGAAGTTTTTTTCTTACTTGTAATCTGCCTTGGGTCCCAGTGAGAAAAGTGGACTAAGTGAAAAATAGTAACTTGTTTTTTCCTTCAGGCACTTTCTTTTCATAGTTATGCCATCTGCTTTTTTCCAGCCACTCAGAATGTTGTATTTATTAAAAGAAAACCAGGTCTGTTTTGTTTTGATGCTGAATTCCATGTTTGGAATTCTTAATTCTGTAGAAGAACAGAAGCTCTGTGCCTTGTTCTCCCCCATATCATCTATAGATACCATGCCGAGTTTCCCAGCACTTCCTTGTTTGAGGGGGCAGGAAGACTTTCAGTGTAATGCTATGACATCTCTCAACCATATGTAGTTTTTTTGGGCACAAATTTGATATGGGGCCCTTATCAGTGGCAGTTTTGTTTTCTGTAACATCATTTTTATCCCTGTTTTACAAGTAGACCATTGCTTCTAATTCTAAACCATGTTTCCATGTCACTCAAATCCAACTTCTTCTTCCTCCCTAATGGGTCAAGTAAAATTGTATATAGTAGACCCTTGCCATTCTCAGGGGGATCAGTTCCTGGGATCACCCTAAATAGCAAAATCCACAAACATTGGGAGGCAGGGTTCTGCTAGCTCCTAGAAGTAAAATACCCAAATTTCCTGCAAAATGCAATGATGATGGTACAGACACAGTAGGAATAACAGACTAGAGACTATGTCATGTGATCAGACCATGAATAACTGGAATTGCAAATTACAAATCTGAAAATGGCAAGGGTTTACTGTACACAGCACCTTTTCAGCACGTTAGTGGTGATTTGAATGATGATATAAGAGTTACCTTACTCTTAAAGTGCTTGTTCTCAGTCTTCAACCACGTCCTATGAGACCACTCTGACTCTGAAACAACATAAAGCCTTCTGCGAATTCTGTTGGAAAAAACTTCAGTTGAAAGCCTTGCAGGCTGCTGCACAGAAGGATAAAATGTACAGTGTCTCTGTGCGTGCATAATGACAGAAGACATAGAACCAAACCTTTGCAGAACTTTGTCACCCAAAATATATCTCTTTGATTAGCTTTTTGGTTGAGCTGTTAAATAATACTACTCAAAGAGAAATCTCAGATGGTTGGCTTTCTCATTAGTAGCTCGGGCTTTTTATCTACAGTCTGAAATGTCAAGGTTGGAAAAGAAATTTCAACTTTTCACTGGGGCCTTGCACTCCTTGACTTTGGCCTATGTTAATAAGTACTCAATTTTGGCAAGAGAAGTTGCAAACTAAACACATATTTGATCATGGAAATTTTGGAGAGGAACATTAGGTGCCACACCATGTTTCAACTGAATCTTTGTGTAATTAGAAGAGTCTACTTCCTGCTTCCTTGTTTTGTTGGTGAGCATAGATCTGCTGTGTGAGAACACCAGAACACTGGTAACTGTACCATCTGTAGGGTGTAGTAGTTTGCTACATGGTTACTCTTTGGCAATAATATAGTTTAAGCTATTACAATGCTAGAGCTGTTTTCCTTTCCATACACTTATTCTGGCAGTATGTGCAAACTGATGAGTAAATGTTTTGATTTAATAATTATCACTAGCAAATAAGTAGCAGAATCACTTTTATGGCCTAAGTGTTACCTCTGTATTAAGCAACAATATACAGTTTTCTGTGGAGCTCACAGGTGAACCATGGTCTACTTGGGTTTAAACATAAGAGAAGCCAATGCTGGATCAGGCCAATGGCCTATCTAGTCCAACACTCTGTCACACAGTGGCCAAAAATACCAGGTGCCATCAGGAGGTCCATCAGTGGGGCCAGGATACTAGAAGCCCTCCCACTGTTGCCCCCCCCCCCAAGCACCAAGAATACAGCACATTACTTGCCCTAGCCTGAGAGTTCCTATATCTACCTTGTGCTTAATAGCCACTGATGGACCTCTGCTCCATATGTTTATCTAATTCCCTCTTGAAGCTGTCCATGTTTGTAGCCACCACTACTTCCTGTGGCAGTGAATTCCATGTGTTAATGACTCTTTGGGTGAAGAAGTACTTCCTTTTATCTTTTCTAACCCGGCTGCTCAGCAATTTCATGGAGTGCCCACAAGTTCTTGTATTGTGAGAAAGGGAGAAAGGTACTTCTTTCTCAACCTGCTCTATCCCATACATAATCTTATAAACCTCGATCATGTCATTCCATTCTAACACAAATGTTTGGATGTTGCCAAGAATCAAATGGCTCAGGAAATACTGTACAAAGTACCCACCCTAGTAAATATTTTTTTTTCCTTAGGTCCTCAAACCTCAATAGATATACAAGCAAAATGTTCAGATCTATTTAGTCCATATAACTTGCTAGACTAGGATGATGCCTGTTTGTATGAATGTGGTGGTGTGCCACAGAACAGAAGAACTTTTCCTGTGACACCAGGAATCTGCATATAATCCAAATCTTGGACAACATCATAGAAAATTAATAGTTCCTCTGAGGTAGGATGGGAGGGATCTGATAAGGTTTTGTGGCACTTATCGCAACTCTAGGTCACAGTGCTGCAGGTCCTACATGTCTACCTGCTTGCCTCATTCTTCATTTGTGAAAGCCAGCATGGTGGTGTAGTTGAGAGTGGTGGACTCTAACCTGGAGAACCTCCTCATGAAGCCTGCTGAATGACCTTGGGTCTCTCAACCCCCCAGAAAAGTCTAGCTCTTTTAGTGTATAACACTAAAAGTTGGAACTTAAGGCTGCCAGACAATCGTTGGATCTCCTGGCTATACCACACAAAATGTCATATGATAATTAGTTATTATTTGTCTCATTCCTGCCAATATCCCCTGTACTGTACAGTGAGTGTCTTGGTGGCTAGCCATTACTTCCCTTTCCTCTGCTTATTTCCTGCATAGCCATATATATGCATGAGGCTTGCAGCCTGCACTTTTCCCCCTTCCAGAAAACTGGAGAGAGTTCCTAGGTAGTAGCAGGGATGGAGGTTGAGTGATTAATCCCACAATACATATATGCCAAATTGAGCTCCATGCACAGGTTCATGGGCTCTGGACAGCTCGATGTACTTATAATTTCAGAGCCTCAGGGTGTCCTGAAGAAGCTAAACATCACTATTTTAAGTGTCTTTCTTGGAGATTGTGACGGGCCCTTTCTTTAAACCAAGAAGACCCACACAGCCTCTTACAATTTTGGGGGACCAAGTTTGTTTGGGGTATAAACCTTCCACTCAGTTACAAGATGTTCTTAGGGTAGCAAGTTTTTTTTTGCAAGCAAGAACATGGAGATCAGTGAGGCAAGGAATTGTATGTAAATAACAAAGATTTGTTTACTTACATATTGTTTTTAAAGAACAGATCAGCAGTGTGGGTCTCCAGATAGTTAAAGGAAAAGCCTGGTTGAGATGTATACATTTAAGCTCGTTATGGCTTCAGAGTGTGATTTGAACTCTTTTGCTGTTTACAGCTACAAATAGGCTTTTACTGACCTGCCACTTGATTGGATCCTATAACACACACATAGGATTCCACCCACACCAGCCTACCCTTTCCCGAGAGTCAGATTTAAATGGTACAAGGTCTACTTATTATCTGGGGCAGGCCTAACAACTGAATTCTCTACTCTCTACCAGAAGTAGAGTTAAACCACTCTGCCATGCTACAAGGCAGGGCTACTCTTCAAACTGTCTGCTCTTTTGCTAAGGCAAACCCAGAACTATTATCACTGTATCCTCCCTGAGATAGATCCAAATTATGACTGCACTTTCCCTGAGGCAGACATGTACTACCTCTTGCTGTGCTTCCCTCCAAAATTCTATCTCCCCTCTGAAAGCATTCCCCATGGGTTCAGGGATGAAGTGCCTGAGTGGATATTTTTTTCCTTTCAGGGGCTGGACAGCCTCATGTCCATCACACACACATTATGAAATAGGCTTCTTTGGTAGCTGGGTTGCCCTTGCAGAACTGTAAACTGTAGTTTTTGTATTTATAGCTTCTGCTGATTTAATATGATAAACTCTTTTAAATCCAATAACAGTTTCTTCTGGCAACTTAACCAGTTCCAAGATTTATTGGTAAATGAAATCACTTTATCCGATTAGTGCTAGGTTCATTTTAAATTAGATTACCCTGTTTTGTCCTCTAAATGATGCCAACTTGCATGTTTCTCTTGGAGGACTTTGGGTTTGTTTTGGAGAAGAATATAGTGTAAAATAATTCAAGAGATCTACAGGGTTAAAATAACAGAACAGTTTATTCAAAAAAAGACTAGAGTTTTTCCAGAAATGTTATTTTTTTTAAAAAAGAGTTGACTTTTGTACATGCAAGTTACGCCCAGAAACACAAAGCTTCCTTGGTGGGGTTATCTTATATTTACGGTTGCCTTCCTTTTGGACAAATTGGTTCTGTTAACTTGTGCATAGTACCCTTTGATATCTGTTTTTATAGTTTATTTGATTCATTTATAACCTGCCTTTGTCCCCAGTGGGGACCTGATGTCATTCTCCCCTCTTCCATTCTATCCTCACAACAAACCTGTGAGGTAGGTTAGGCTGAGATAATGTGACTGGCCCAAGATCACCCAGCAAACTTCCATGGCACAAGTAAGGATTTGAACCTGGGTCATCCAGATACTAGTCCAACACTCTTAACCACTACACCAGGCGTACTTCATTCTCTGGTTACAATTGCACAACAACTGTAGGATCTTCGAGCTTGGTTGGCCATTAATTTACATTTGAAGAGACTGGTGCTCTTTATTCAGATCCTGCTATAGAAGTGTTAAAGTTTGCTGAAAGAACATCTTTACTTCCTGCTGGACAAGTCCCTTAGTGTGAATAGTCAATAACAATTAAATTGTTATTTGCACGTGCCTGATTGGAACTGTCTTTGCTACATTGCTCTTTCTCTTTGGCTGTCTTAACTATTTCTCTAAAAGGGAATGTTTGATAGCCAGTATTATCTGTAAGATTTCAATCCACCTGGAAGATTCATTAGAAGAGTTCACAATTGTTGAAATCTTAAAGCTGTCCTCTTTACCTTCTGGAACTTCAAATACGTCCTGCAGGTTCTCTAGCTGGAAGCTGTGTCTCTGAACTCTATTTTTAGCCATGCTGTAGAACAAATCTTTGCCTGGATTTACATCTAGCATTAGTCAGTGTTTTGTATCTTGTGTTTTTTCCTTTTATCACCTTACCATTTAGAACTTTCCAGTTTTCTACCTTTATATACACTACCTAAATTTCTTTTTTCTTTTTTAAAATTTTTATGTACCTATGTGTGTGTGCTTATATGTGCACCTGGAAGTCATGGCGACCACTGGTGACTGACCCCTACTGGAGGATATTCAGAGAGGTGGCTGAATAAAGCCTGCCCCCACTTCCCACCTCTGGTATTTCAAGAAGGTCTCCCATCCAAATACTTGCCAGGGTTGACCCTGCTTAGCTTCTGAGATCTGACAAGAGCTGATGCAATAATTGTGTAATAGTGTTCATTTCTGGAACACTAGACTGTGCCAGTGGTCTAACACACGGTCCACCCAAGTGGAGACTGCTCTAGACATTTATCAAAGCTCATTCACTAATATTGGAGGGCCATAAAAATGTTGGTAGTGTATGGTTTTTAATGGTTTGTATCCTTTGGCTAGGAGCTGTGGTGGCTCAAGTGGTTAAGATGCTGAACTGCAGACTGGAAGGTTGGTAGTTCAGCAGTTTGAGACCCGAGTGCCACTTCACGGAGTGAGCTCTGGTCTCTGGTTCCAGCTCCTGCCAACCTAGCAGTTAGAAAGCAAGAAATTGCAAGTAGATAAATAGGTACCGCTTCGATGGGAAGGTAACAGCATTCCATGCAACTTGGCATTTAGTCATGCTGGCCACATGACCACGGAAACGTCTTCGGTCAGCGCTGGCTCTTCGGCTTGGAAACTGAGATGAGCAGCGCAGCCCTAGAGTCGGATTCGACTGGCTTTCGAGCAAGTGAAACCTTTACCTTTACTATCCTTTGGCAGTCAGGAAAATGCAGTGATTTGGACTGGAAAGCATTACAACAAACAAGTATTAGTACAATAAACTGTGTCAATTTCTCCTAGCAAGATAGCACTCCCTAAAAAGAGAACATGGGCTCAGTATGGATTTATCAAGACATGCTTTTTTCTTTATTTTAAGAACATAAGAGTTGCCAAGAATTTAGAGCTGTCATCTGATATTTTACTCGCTTCCCAGCTAAAAACTGAGCACTTCAGGTCCTTTCAGTTTTTTACTTACCTAAATTCAGTGTACTGAAATGTCTCATAATACAAGGTGCCTCACTTATTCATACAATTCACACAGAATGGTATGTTTGGGCATGGCATGTCACACAAATCTATTATTTGTGACACAACGCCAAAAACTGAACAGAAAGGTCAGTTATATCGATTACTGTGACTTCAAGGCATAAGAATTACTTAAGTGATACCAGATTAAAAATTTTCTGCATATAAACATTTGTTTTTTATATATCTGTTAATGTGTTTCTAACATTCATATGTTTTGGTAAAATTTAGTATTCAGGACTGTTTATAACTAGGACATCTCAATGGTGAACAAAGGACAGGCACACCTTGATCATTTATGTTTCAGTTCGTTGTATGGTCACTTACAGGAGAAATTTTTAAGAACTGGGGTAGGGTTGCCAGTTCTGGATTGGGAAATGCCCGGAGATCTGGGTGTGGAATTTGAGGCGGGAGATTGGTAGGGATGTAGTGCCACAGAGTCAACCCTTGAAAGCAGCCATTTTCTTCAGGGGAGCTGATCTCTGTAGTCTGGAGATCAGCTGTCATTTCAGGTGAATTCCAGGCCCTGCCTGGAGGTTGGCAACCTGAAATAGTGCACTTTAAAAAACTGCACATTTTTAAAAAATACCTATTTACTTACAACCAGTTTTGTTATGGTGGCATGCAATGTGTTTGTATACAGAATAAGAATGTGATGCTGGATAACAATTTAAGATTTGAAAATCTAAAAGGAAAGGGTCCATAAGAGAGCATGTTTATATAAGAATTAGCATTTTTTCATTAACCATTCCCTTGTCTTTAGTTTTACATGCTTAAAGAAGTGAAAGTCACTGTAACAAATGGGTGTGATTATGACATAACACAAGAGTGTTGTTGGATTTCCAGTGCTGCTTGATAGGCATACTTTTATAGCAAGCTGAAAAACGAAAAATTTCCTAAATCTAATTTAGTTGTGAATGTAAATTCACCTTCATAATTACAATAACTTAAAAGCATAAAAGTAATTAGAATTCTTAGTTGTGTAAGAACATAAGAAGAGCACTGCTGAATCAGACCAGTGGTCCATCTAGTCCAGCATCCAGTCTCACACAGTGGCCAACCAGTTCCTCTGGAGGGCATAGAGTCTGAGACCTTCCCCTGATGTTGCCTCCTGGATAGAGATGGGCTTGAACGAAACCACAAAGCAGAATTCATCATGAATTTTGCCCTATTCGTGGTTTGCAAACTGAAGTTGACAGGTCAACCATTGTGAACTTCCACAAAGTTTTAAAGCAGTTCATGGCAATTCATGAATAAAGCAGAAAACAGGGAGTTAAAGGGACAGCATCCCTTTAAGCCCCTGCTTTCTGTTCCCCACAAAAGCATTCTGCTGTTTCTCGAGCTTTCTTGTGCCTCGACCCTTTAAACTGCAGAAGAAAGCCTGAAACAACTGAGCAGTGGAGAGCAGACTGCTCCCTGTTGCTCAGCTGTTTTTGGACTTTCTGCAAACCCTGTTTTAAAGGGACTGAGGCCCCTTTCAACAGGGTTTGTGGGGCTACAAACCATGAACATGAGTCATGTTTTTCCAGCTTGTGCCATCCTTAGTCCTGGCACTGAGATTCAGAAGTTAACTGCCTCTGAATGTGGCGGTCCTCTCAGTCACTATGGCTAAGGGCCACTGATAGACCTATCCTCCATGAATCTATCTGATTCCCTATTAAAGCTGTCTGCTTCTGTAGCCATCGCTACATCCTCTGGAGTGAATTCCACACTTTAGTCGTTCTCTTTGTAAATAGCTATTTCTCTTTTTCCCCATCCTGAATCTATTGCCCATCGGCTTCAGTTGATGCCCTTGAGTTCTAGTATTTTGGGAGAGAGAGAGAAAATTCTCTTTGTCAATTTTTTCTACCCTATGCATAATTCTATACACCTCTCTCATGTCCCCCCTTAATCATCTCTTTTCTAAACTGAAAAGTCTCAGAGTCTTCAGCCTTTCTTCATAGGGAAGGTGCTTCAAACCCTGATCTTGGTTGCCCTCCTTTTTGAGATATGGGGACCAGAAATGTACACAGTATTCCAAATGAGTCCACACCATAGATCTATACAGGGGCACTATAATATCAGCTATTCTATGTTCAGTCCCTTTCCTAATAATCCCTAACAGAGTTTGCTTTTTTCACTGCTAAAGGACACTATGTTGATACCTTCATTGAATCCACTATGACTCCAAGGTCTCCCTCTCCCCCGCCCCAATCTCAGTAAATTCAGACCCCATTAGCCTATACTTGATGTTGGGATTGTTTTTGTCCCAATGTACATCACCTTAGACTTACCAATATTAAACTTGCATTTGCCAAATTGTATCCAGTTTGTGGAGATACTCACTGCTTCCTTCTCCATTGCGAGAACTGTGCATTTATTCCTACTCTTTGCTTTCTGTCATTTAACCAATTTTTAATCCCATGACTGCTAAATTTACTCAGGAGTCTTTGGTGAGGTACCTTGTATAATTTGGTAATTAGTTGTTGTATCTAGAAATCATCACTAATTAAATTGCTGTTTCTTTTCAGGCAATATTCAAGGAGCAACAATTGTAGATGCCTTGGATACACTATATATAATGGAGATGAAAGATGAATTTAAAGAAGCCAAAGAGTGGGTAGAGAAAAATCTAGATTTCAATGTGGTGAGTATTGGTCTGTTCTAATGTAGAAAGAAAAATATATAGATGTTCTCATGCAGTAACCTGAGTAATAATGTAAAAAAATTCTATCAGATGTATTATAGGGGGAGTAGACATAAACAAGAATTTATTCTAAGCAAATGGTTAGCCTTCATGTTTTGCCTGTAATTTTTTCATACATCAAACTTCTTTAAACATCATATTCTTAAGTAGATTTTGGGGTGCCACTTTTTCTTAACTACTTGTTTTATCATGCCAATTGATCTTTTCATTGGACTTGGGGGGGAACTATAAGTGATTGCTTGAAAATCCATTTTAGACACTTAAAAAAATAATTAATTTCTGTTGGTTAGAAAAAACCCTGTATCCTTGCTGTGAAACTTTCTAGGTAGACACCCTACAAGTCATAGAAGGGTCCTCAGAATTATCTTTGTCCTTGGAGCTATATTCCAAAAATACCATATTTCAGCTGTACTGCTTTTTTATGGGATCCCTCTGCAGAAAATCTGTGGATTTTTAAGCTGTTGTACATAGTGGGGTTTGTTAAACTGCTGCAGCAGTTAATCTCTTCGATTCTTCTAAAATTTGTAGGAAGCTATACTACATTATTTCCATCTTGTGTCAATTCAGGCAATAGGAAATCCCTTTCTGATGCAGAATTATATTTTGCTTCACCCTTATTTTGCTTCATCAATGACTTATGTAAAAGTTTTTACGTCAAGATATTATTTGTGTTGTTACTCTGGAATTAGGGCTCTAATAAACATCCAGAAGTCGGTTAGGTAAAACGTCTTAATTTCTTGATACCAAAGAAGAATATACCTGCAATAGAATGCATGGAAATAAATCCCATGAATTAAATAGTACTGACTTGGAAATAAACCTGTTTAGGATTGCATTGTCAGCATTTGGTTTAGTTTAAAGTAAAATAGGGTAAGAAGTAGGTCCAAATAAATGCTGGATGTTAAGCTAATAGTGAATTGAAAGAGCAGCCTCAGTAATTGCTTAATAAATAGCAAGAAGCAGGTAGCTATAAATTAATAGTAAAAAATTGTCCATACGTCCCTAGATATATATTGGGAGTGGTGTTTAAAGAACACTCTGGAGTATGTTTCATATCACTGAGTCAGCAAAACATGACCATCTAGAAATAATACTAAGAATTCTTCATAATAGAAGAGCTCATTCAAAACTTTCAAAACTTTCAAAAAGTTTTGAATGACCTGTTCCATTATGACCTCAAAGTTTTGCCAGTGTGGTATACTGCATCAACATAAAAGAAAAATGCACCATTGCACACACAGAGAGAGAGAGAATTCCAGAGGGTTTGAAGCCATGGGGGGAAAACATTTTTCTCCCCATTTGGGGGGAAAATTGAAATATATGTAATACATATTTACTTTCCTATGAAACATGCTACTTTTACTGATTGAACAACCTAAATGCATCATTTATAACAATATATAAAATTTAAAGGTAAAGGTTCCCTTGCTCGAAAGCCAGTCGAATCCGACTCGGGTTGCAGTGCTCATCTCCATTTCAAAGCCGAAGAGCCAGCACTGTCCGAAGTCATTTCCGTGGTCATGTGGCCAGCATGACTAAACACCAAGGCGCATGGAACACTGTTAACTTCCCACCAATAAAATTTACTATTTGACGTATTATGGAATTTTAACAGTATAAATGTTTCCATTTTCTGTAAGAAAAATGTGCAGTTATGCACAATACCTAAGCGAGTTGCTGTTGAAGAGGTAGGAAAAAATAAAAGTTGAAGGTAGAAAACAAATTCTGTGACATATATTTGGATGGAGACTCCCTCATAGAGTCACCGTACGTAGGATTGCCAGCCTGTTTCGATATTAAGTTAAACTTCATAACAGTAAAAACACTGAACTCTTATATATACTATTATATTTAAAGATAACATTTGATGCCAAATTATTTAAACTTTTCCAGAAATTTTTATTTATCTACAGTATAATTTTATCCAGTGTTCCCTAAAACTTCAGAGTTTCACAGGAAGTCCTTAGGCTTTTTTTATGCTGTACATTTGGAATTAGTAAAATGTTATGTAAGACAAGGTGTGGTTTTTTTTACTCAAAAGAGAAGATTTCACAGGATTTTAGTTTCACTGTTCCGTGTAGGAAAAATTAAAAGTCCTCAGGGTGGGGAGGGGGATAACATTTTTTCCTTAGCCTTCATATTTCTAGTATTGCAGTTTGAGAGACTGCTGTTGCATTGATAGTACTGTGTGTAGTTCTTGGGTTGGACCGAGCCCAAGAAAAAGACTGCAGTAACTGCTTGAGCTAAGTCAAGCTTATTGCATCCCTGTTTGCATTTCCACTTGTGCATTCAGTTTCTGGCTACTATGATAAATAGGGATTCATGTGCTGGGTGTTGGACAAGATGTCATGCAAGCAGAACTGTGCTAAGTCTATTTGTTTTCACGTGTGTCACTGGATCCAAACCCTTGTCTATACTTCTAAAAAAAGGTTATCATTGAGCTAGTAGTAATATATCAGGAACACAAAAATTAATTACAGCGTTAGTGAGCAGACAAATAGAAGGTTATCAGTACACTAAATAGCCACTGAAGCTCTGGCTTTGATAAGCAGGTGAAGAACAGGAGGAGAACAGCAAGCAGAGCCAGAACAAGAGAAAGGGGGGTGGCCAATGTGGGAGAAGGTGGGGTTTCCTCTTCCACTTGAACCATTGCAGGTAGTTGTCTTCTCAGAAGTAAAACTGGTAGTCCCAAACACTATTGATGCATGAAGTCTTGATACCTTTGGGGTTATTTGTGGTTCTCTTTCTCAGTGCTTAGCAAATTAGAAAGAGGAAGGATTTATCCGTGCCTTCTACAGCAGGGGTACTCAATGTGGTGCCCATGGGTGCCATGGTGCCCTGCGAACATGTTTCCTGGTGCTTGCCAAGTGTTTTTAGAAAGTAGGTGGGGCTGGGTGAAGTTTTTGACCAGGGAAGGCTTCTTATTGGCCACTATATATACAATTTATATACAGTATAATTTTATCCAGTGTTCCCTAAAACTTCAGAGTTTCACAGGAAGTTCTTAGGCTTCTTAAAAGCATTGCTTTGGTAGCAGCTGCCAGTACAGCAGAAGGATCTTCACTGTGTAACTGAAGGTAAGCCATTACAGCCTTTTTATGGCTGGGTCCACATCCTGTGGCAGCCATTTTGTGGCAGCCATTTTTTTGGTTGTGTCCACCACACTGTGTCAGAATTCCAAAAGTGCCCACAGTTTCAAAAAGGTTGGGGACCCCTGTTCTAGAGATTGTCTAGCTGGCCATGGTTAACAACAGAATGCTGGGCTAGATGAATCTTCAGATCTGATATGTCTGTTGGTTGTACAACACATTTTTGACCATTGGAAGGTAGAAATGGAATTAGTATGCACTCATTCTACAGTTTAGGCATTTTGTATGTTCTGTCTTTTTCTTTGGAGTCTTTCTAAATGTAATTGCTTACTCTGAAATGGCTACAGTTTAGATTAATTCTACACAGAATTAAATCTAGAATTGAAGTGAATTAGGAGTGATTTCTGTCTCAGGGTAAGAACTCTGCTATTGAAATTGGTCCCCATGCCAGGTCTTCACATGCACAGCATTATCTGCCTGTGTAGAACAATCCTTATGTTCCTGGGCAATTTTTTGAGACATTGCAGTCTGTTGTATACACAGATCCCTTTATAGCACAGTACGCTTAGCAAGACAAGGCAGAAAGAATATCAGACAAGCAAATCTTAATTTTATTCTGAGATACAAAGGTAAATTATGAAATGCAAGGGAAAACAAACATATAAAACATTGCAGTACAGTAGTACAATCCTATCAGTGATGCCCTTGATTGCTTCCTAGTCATACAAATGGGGTGGGGGGATCTAAGGAGAAATAAAGGGAAATCATAAGTTTCTGCCCTGAAAAGAAGAGTCTGATGTGCTGAGATCTGGGGCAGGAGAAAGAGAAAGCTGGTCTGGGGTGGTAATTTGTGGAACAGAGGGAATTGTCCAAAACCACAACCAACTATGGAGGTGGGGATCCAGGCAGAGAACAGAAGTCTAAGTGTAGTAGGAGGGAGTTCAATAATCAAGAAAGGATGGGTGACGGTATGGGAAATAAACCAACTGCAAAGTTTGGGAAGGAGGCTCATGTGCAGAACCAGGTACATAGTTGGAGGGCTCCATGTGCTCTATTTATAGGATCCGAAGTGGCTAAATTTTAATGCAGAATTCTTGTATTGGCCCAATTCCATGATCCTCAATGGGATAGGATCAAGGGAAGTTCTTCGTTACTATTGGTATGTTTAAATTGGGGTGAGTATAGGTCAGGGGGAACTGGAAGTCCTAATATGGGCATGCTATATGAAAGGACAAGGTTCATGCAGGCTGACTGAGTTACCTGATATATTTGCATTTATTTATATCCCACTTTTCTCCCCAGTTCAAAGTGGCTTTTAAAACATCGGTACTCCGTTTTCCGATAACAGCCCTGTAGAGTAGGCCAGGGTGAGAGTTTGTGATGGGACACAGGTTACCCAGGAAACTTTCATGGCAGAAGTGGAGATTCGAGTCTGGGTCGCTATGACATGAACCCCCTTTATACAGTCAGTTATGTGAGGGTCTGCATGTCAGGATCTAGTCAGAGCTGATTTTATTTTTCCTGACCAGTCCTCTACACCCCCAATGTATAATATTCTCTTCGGGGTTTGTTTATTTCAGGCGGTCTTCTTTGAGGACTACTGCATAGTATATAGCTCCCCAGAAAGTCAGGCACCAATACTTGTAACATTCAACAGGCACAGTTACTTTATTGTTGCACAGAAAACTCACCAGGGGGATGGGATATATTTAAATACACAGGATGTTCTGATACTTTGTGGAATAAAGAAATCACTTTGCCTTGGCTTAGGTTGTCTGCTTTTCACTCTTAGTTCAGTACCTAGATGTTCCTTAGTTCACAACACACCTCAGATCTCACTCTCCAGTCACT